AAACAGAATGCGCAAACTAAAAAGATCTGCTCCAATGCCAGTTTCCATATGCAAGTTTAAATTCCTTATCAATTCTAATATTCAGACATCTAGATAAGTGTGAATACTTGCACTTGTCATAACATCCACATACTACAGATGCACTAGTTTACATTAAATCTGATTACTAATATTTTAACTGGAAGAGATTTTACCAATGTTATTTGCATCAAATAATTGGGGGTGAAGACCATATTTTTGTTTTGGCTGGTATAAAGTCAGGGGCTTCTCATATTTTCGTAACACAAGCAGTAGTAGCAACAAAGATCTGGCTCATGAAGCGTATTATTTTGACAGCTTGCAGTACCAGTACCCGGGAGATCCAGCAGGACAGAAAAGTGAGGAAAAAACTGCAATTTTAGGTCTCCTCGCATGCTATTCTCTTGTGCTACAGGTGTAGGCTGAAACATTAGGTAAGCATTCAGGGTGATTTAGTGGCAGATTTCTTCGAGACGAAATCCTGTTTTTTATCTATTTTTAATCATAAGAGTCTTAATTAAGGTGTTTTTACCTGGCCCTGAGGATTTCCGAGACCCTTCTGGAAATAGCCTGCCTGCAGCCAGGGCTGTCTGCTCCAAGTCGAGGTGAGAGCAGGTGCTGCTTGCTAAAAAGCAAGAAAATATTGCCCTCTAGTGCTGAAAGCAAGCAGAGGATGCAGAGTCCGAGAGGGGTTTTTAATTATTATTTCCAAGATACCTGCTTATCTCATGCTAACAAAACTAAGGCTTGTTGCAATTAGCTGGTTTGTGGGCAGATTACCCACCCAGCGAGGCTGCCCTTCCCATGGAGAGCAATTCTCCTGATCCGATAAACCCTCAGAGTCTGATGAGTGACTCATCAACGTCACCAAAACTGGAACACGGCCCCACAGAGGACGCTTCACTTGATCCTGTTTTATCTTTTGATAAAATCTTAATTGGAAGTTTAATCGGAAGCGAGATCCCGGCAAGCAGACAGAACTGCAGAACAAGGGAAGCACCAAAGGGGGGTGAACACCCTTACAATTATCAAGATTTTAACTTCCTAGTGATTGCTGCGATTTCTTTTTTATTTCTTGTCTCATACATAAGACATTACTAAACACAGAACATTTTTCCTCATTTCTGTTCACTTCTGTCCGTGGATAAACTACCCACCTGGCTCACCTTTTGGCCAATTGCTGTGTGACACACGCAGGGTCACTGATGGAGTAGCCCACAATACAGGGGTACGAATGTCCTAGCAAGCTTCCAACTGAGAAAGGTGAAGCAGATAAAAACCTGAACCTGGCAAAGTCACAAATGGCCTCGGCAAACAACTCCCTCTCTCTAAATTGCAAAAGCAGCAACAAGCCTCTCATGAGCAAGTAGACCAATTAATACACAATTACTTCAGCATTCTGTTCATTGCTTGATAAGCTCCAAAAAGCAGTAGAGTACTCTAATAATAGGAGAGTGGTATATGAGGCATTTAAAGCAAAACTAAAACTTTTCACTTGCTTTTTTAAGATCCTGAACTGACACAACCAAGAGGTTCCTTAGAACTGTCTATCAGAGTCATAAAATACACTGCGAGACAAATTTCTTCAATACCTTTCTTACAAGCATTTTCCAGTTTTAGGTGTAAAGCTTAAGATGAATGAATAGTCTTCAGAATGAAACTCAAAAGTGTAATCTGAGTTAATGGAGGAGGACACATCCACTGACAAGTGTCTGCCTGGAAAGAGTCTTTCTTCCTTGCAGTTCAAAAATCATCCGTTGTTTACAGTCTCATATTGTTCCAATAGGTAAACAACATAAATAATTCAGAAAGATGTTAATTCCTATTTAAACCCATAGAGCAGCATGGGCTATTTAGTTAGTTAGTTTTAATTGCCTCTGAGTCATATGGTTTATTGTTACCCATGGTAATTTTTCATGAATTCAGGTAGAACTACCAGGAATTGCACAAGGGCTACAGAGCTGGCCGGGCAGTCAGGTTTAAGCACCTCGGACTTCAGCTATACAGCACAGCAGGGACAGTCCCAGTCCTTTAACTGGAGGTGTCGTGGCCCAGGGCCCACACCTACGTGCCCACCCAGCACTTGGAAAACCCACACACAATCTTCGTCATTCCGGACAGTCCTTAAACGGACTGTAAAGTACTGATCACTCCAGGTACAGAATGGAAACTGGAAAGAAAAGTCCTACAAATCTTTCCTCAAAGTCCTCTGGTGTCTTTCACTTCAGTTTCATTAGTTGCACAGTCCAACGCAGAATTTGTTCCCTTTTTCAAAATATTTATGTAGTTTGAGTTTCACATGGAACATGGCCCAATATTTAACAACCATTTACTTTGTCCTAATTTTGTCCTACAATCTTCAGTCATTCCCTTTTGCAATAGGAATGAACCATTTTAGATAAGAAATGCCCATAAATGAAGAGATACATGTCCTCAAAAAGTTATGTTTAGACTTTATTTTTATACCCTAAGAATATGGGAGAGCTGTTTAATGCAGCTTATCTTAATACATCAAGAAAGCAAGTGACACGAAGCGCTCCTTGAACTGTTCATAAACTTCCCTCTTAACTCAGATTACCAGTATCAATCACCATCTTTATTAGTGTGTGGTTTTAATTGCTTTATGGATTTTATTTTATTTACTCTTCTTTTACTTCTTGTTGCAGATAATGTTAAGAGTCCTCTTCATTGATTATTGGCAGCTGCTGCATTCTGAGAAAACCTCTTTCAATTTAGCTTTCCGGATCCTTTGACTTCCCACTCCAACAGCTTTATAACCTCCCCGACAGCTTCATAAATGCACTGCAATGGTCACATGAACGTCTTGGGAGGAGAATCGGCACCTCTGCATCTCCTCATTCCTATGGCACTTTAGGAAGAGAGAACCAAAAAAGCAGCAAGTCCAACAGAAGTTGGAAGTCCTGCGAAAGATGAATCTAATCGTGAAGCTCCGCAGAAGTTTCAGAACGCTGGTTATTCTCCTGGCAACATTTTGCTTGGCAAGTATCGTCATTTCTGCCTATTACCTCTACACCGGCTACAAGCAGGAAATGGCCCTCGTGGAAACCACCGGAGAAGCAGAGTGCGAAGACCTCAAGCTTCTACCATACAGGTCCATGGAGCTGAAAACAGCTAAGCCAATTGATCCGTCTAAAACTGATCCCACTGTCCTCCTCTTTGTGGAAAGCCAGTACTCCCAGCTGGGTCAAGATATCATAGCCATCCTCGAGTCCAGCAGATTTCAGTACCACATGGTCATCGCACCAGCTAAGGGCGATATTCCCCCTCTCACAGACAATGGAAGAGGAAAATACACAATTGTTATATACGAGAATATTTTGAAGTATGTTTCCATGGACTCATGGAATAGAGAGCTTCTGGAAAAATACTGTGTGGAATACAGTGTTAGCATAATCGGTTTTCATAAAGCCAACGAGAACAGCTCCCCAAGTACGAAACTGAAAGGATTGCCATTACATCTTTACAATAATGTAGCCCTCAAAGACTGTGTGGTAAACCCTCAGTCTCCCCTGCTGCGCATTACCAAAGCGCCAAGGGTTGAGAAAGGTCCACTACCTGGTGAAGACTGGACAGTTTTCCAGTTTAACCATTCCACCTATCAACCTGTGCTTTTAACCGAACTGCAGACCTCCAGACCGCCCCCTGCGGCATTGCCAAAGGCTGCTCTGTATGCAACCATCATCCAAGACTTGGGGCTTCATGACGGGATTCAGAGAGTCCTTTTTGGAAACAACCTGACCTTCTGGTTGCACAAACTCATCTTTCTTGATGCCATCTCTTTTCTGTCGGGGAAGAAGCTCACACTGTCCTTGGATAGGTACATTCTGGTTGATATAGATGACATCTTTGTTGGGAAGGAGGGAACGAGGATGAACATCAACGATGTGAAGGTAAGGCAAAAATTGGGGGATACCATTCCAGATACATGTATGTGCGAATGGGTATTTGAAAAGAGACAAAGCTTGAAAAAGCTGGCAAGCTCCATTTCCTAGTAAAGGCTGAAAGTGCACAAGTGTAGCTAGCAGATACAGAAACACAACCTAAGATTACTTTAAAAGTCTGTTTGCCCACGTTATATACAGAGATGCATTCATGTACATGTATATACATTGATACATAGAGGTGGCCTCATACAGTAATGCATATAGTGAATATACTGGCTGCCTCTTGCTCATATAGGTTCTGCTCAAGGGCTTCACCCAGAGCACCTGGGTAACAAAAGAGACTTTTTATACCTCACATAACAGAGATCTTGCTCTAAACTAAATGAGAGGATCTCTGTTTTTGCAGCAAGTTTGCTGCTGAGATATCTGAATTTTTAGATAACACCACATGGTTTACACTGCATTAATTTGTTTTTCCCTATGCGCATACATACACATGTATGTATGTATGTGGCATATATATAATACCATTTATAGGCATTTTCTGTATTCTTTCTTTCACTATTTCTGAAAAGTAGACAGAACAATAGAAGATGATTGCCTTTTTAAATCTCATGTAACTATCACTATATTTAAAAAGAACAAAAAGAGCAAAAGGAAAAAAAACCTGAAAAAGTTACAGTCACATTTTGACTTAGAAGAATTAGCAGGATAATTTTCATTAGCAGATAAGCATTTGAAGTTACCAGTGACAGGATGGAAGCATAGCCTACACTTTAGCAAATGACATAACCATCTGATATGGTGAAAAGCCCACAGACTATTCTTCGGGGGCTCTTTCAAACTTATTTTCATAGTCTGTAGTATTCAGGGACGCCATTAGATTTGTTCAGAGTAATTTTCAAAGATGTGTGCAACTCAGAAAGAATAGATAGAACTCAATAGGATGACAGTTATTTCCTTGTAATTTTCCACATGTGGGAATTGTCATATTCAGAGATTAATTGAAGTTCCTAAGCATGCAACATCACATTCTCAAGCCTTTATTCTGGAGGTTTTTGTCCTGTAAATACCCCAATGTTTTCGTGAGCAATAAGCAAGCCTTTAGTTTTTAAAAGCAGATTTCTATTTTGTTTCTTTATTCTTATTTCCATTTCTACAACTTCTATACTCATCTGCCTCCTCATCCACATCGTTAAGAGAGGTATCGAAATACCCAGCAAAAGCAGCAGTCTCATATACAATTAAAACAATTTTGCACATCAGAACAGCTTGGGTAATTCTATTAGCCAAACCAGGCATGTGAATGCTCATCAGGGCTGATTTCTAGCACCAGGCACTCCAAGCGCCTGGTGTCTTGAGATCTGAGCACTGTGCACAAGCTCAGCGATCAAGTGCTCGCTCTCTCTCCGGAAATATATGGTAAAATGCTCTGAGAAAGGGCTTGTATACAAGAGGAAATTAACTGAAAAGGCAATTGTGGAACAAGTTTTTCAGCAATAGCTTTCCACCTGCACGTTTTTGAGAGCGTCTTTTTCTGATGTGGTTTGCTCCGCTAAGGAAATCTATCATTCTATGTTGTTTAAAGAGCCTCTATTTCTATAATAAAAGCATCCACACGGAGTCACTTGGAAATTCAAATCAT